TGACTTTTCATTGCAAGAACTTTTTTAAAAAGTTGTAGATAAACAGGAAAACCTTGCATATGTCCATATTTTAAAAGCCCAGCATGCTCAATATTTGTGGAATAAATAAAAAGGCAGCAAATATCAAGGGAGGATCTAAGAAGTCCATTTTAAGAATTCTAAGGTCAAAGAATATTAAATTGCGGGGGGTGGGGGTGTTCTGACTGTTTGAACAGTCAGCCTTCGTGTCCTTCAGGGACCACGGCTCACACCACAGGTCAGTCTTTGTCCACCACCGGCCCCTCCGCCTCCACGCTCCCGTGGCTCCCACGGGGACCTCAGGCCACGCGGCCAGCTCCCACGGGGACTGAGCTGTCCCCGCATCGGCAGCGGCCAAGCGCCGTGAGTGGTCGCGGGGGCTGGGGGGACTGGGCTGTGCCAGGAGGCAGCGCCGTGCATGTCCCTGGCTTTGTGAGCGACGTCTGAGACTGGGAGCTGCTACAGGCCACGGAAAAGCCCGTCCGCACGAAGACGGGTTATGTGTGGGTTCCGGGTGGTTCCCTTAGAGTGGAGGCTCCGACGTCCTCGCCGTCCCCCCCTCTCATCTCCCGGAAGCTCACAGAGGAGGGGTAACCAGGGGGCGCGGGGCGAGAGGCAGCACGATGGTCAGGGAGCCAGAGCAAGTTGGGTCTGTTTCCTGCCCCTCCCCACCTCTGGGTTGGACCGCATCCCAGTTGCCTGGAAACGCGTGCACCCGTCCAGCCGGTGCTGCGGGGCGTCAAGCTGAGCGTCGGAGTGGGGGCCTTGCTCCAGCGTGTTCCCGCGTGTCCCCATGTGTTCCGTGTCCCCATGTGCTCCTGCATGCTCCCACGTGTCGCATGTTACCACGTGCTCCCGCGTTCTCCCGTGTGCTCTGTGTCCCCTCGTGTCCCCAGGGGCCTCACCTCTCTTGTTGTCCCAGGCGTAGAGCTCCTTGATGCCCAGCTCGCTGAGCGACTTGGACAGCTCCAGCTCCTCGCCTGCCACGTTGTCCCTGAGCAGCACCACGTGCTCGGGGCTCACGTCACACTTGGCGCAGATGACGGGCAGGAGGCTGTGTAGGGGCACCTCGGGGCTCACGCGCACCACGGCCTTCTGCGTCCGCAGGTAGTTCACCACCAGGCGCACGGACTTCTGGGAGGATACACGGGGCAGGGAGCTCGGTGAGCATGTCTGCCCACGGCTGTGTCCGCCCCGGATGCGGGTGCGGGAGACGGTGAGCGGCAGTTTCTCCCGCAAGTCGGGGCTCACGGGGAGACGGCCCGCAGGGCGGGGAACAGCAATGGCCGGAGAGCCCCTCCCCGTAGACACCCCTGCCTGCTGAGCACACGGCTAACGACACGGGAGTGGGCCTCGGGCAGGGCTCTCCGTGGACAGCCCAGCACACGCAGGGCCGTCCCCGGGTGCAGACCAGACTGAACATGAGGCTTTAGATACACCTTCCCCGGGAAACAGCGGGAAGGGCTGTGAAAAAGTCAACGGAACGGAAAACCCGCACCACACAAGGTATCAAATTCTGTTTAAGAACCAAAATATCACCCGGCCGGTGGCTCAGTGGTTGAGCGACGGCCTAGGAACCAGGAGGTCACGGTTCGATTCCCGGTCAAGGGCACATGCGGGTCAGGGTTTGATTCCCGGTCAGGGCACATGCCTGGGTGGCAGGCTCGGTCCCCAGTGGGAGGCGTGCAGGAGGCAGCCGATCCATGATTCTCTCTCATCATTGATGTTTCTCTCTCTCCCTCTCCCTTCCTCTCTGAAATCAATAAAAACATATTTTAAAAAATTCTCTCTGGCCTTTCCTGGTCACCCTCATGACGCCCAGACCCTGGTGAGTGGACACAGCAGACGTGGACTTTGTGGAGGCACCGAGGCCGACCTCAGACTGGGCCGGGGTTCCATGAATTTTCAGAAAAAAGCTGGACGCACGGGCCTCTCCACGTGTCTGGCCTGGGGTCATGCACAGCCCTGAGCTCAGCTGCCCTTGGGGTTTACACCTGGTGGCCGGGAGGGTCTGAGACGCCCGGGTGTGACCAGGGCTCTCTCCTGGAACATGGACTGTACGTAGGAATCAGGGAAAACGCACCCCGAGGGTCGATGGCATCGTTAACATTTACCAACCACCCAGACCTAGAAATTCTCAGGAGATGGATGGATGGCTAAATTGCCATTTTTAAAAGCAGGGAAATTTTGTACATATTCCAGGAATCTAGACGGATGAAATAGCGCTACTGATGAAGGGAGCTCGAGAACCACAGCAGAGCCTCATTCAAAAGGATAATAAACCGCTGGTGTTCATTTCAATCGATAACCCAAAGTCCGGAAGGACGTCTGGAAGATGTCCCGTCTAATTAGCATGTTATGCTTTTATTATTATAGATGTTCTCCAATTGCAGTGAGTAAATATTTATAACATCAAAAGTTTTTCAAAATAAAAACTCCTTCCCCCCCTCCCCGCCCCGCGACCTCTGACCTCCATCTCTAAGAAGTTCGCGTCTGGGTCCCGCCGGCCTCCGGGGCAGGGAGGCCTCCAGGCCTGAACCCAGTAGGGTGGCCACGGTGCTGAAGTTTCAGTGAATTAAAAGTCAGGTCTGGGGTCCCACTGGCTGCACTGCACATGCTCAGTAGCTGCATCAGTGGCTGCCACCCTGCCAGGCCCAGACTCATGGACCCTCCCATCTCTGCTGGACGCCAGATGGACACATCTGCTCAGACCAGGCCTCTCCTAACACGGCCCACAGCAAACAGGACTCAGTTCCGGGGACTTGCGTCTTCTCAAATAACCCCGTTTAGTGCCTACCTTTGCCTGGCATGGAAGGAGACCCTCACCACAGCGCCTGCCTGTGTCACCAAGAGCCCAGAGCCGCCCGCCCCCCACCACCACCCATAGCTCCCTCCCCACAGGTGTCTGCCTGTGTCACCAAGAGCCCAGAGCCCCCTGCCCCCGTCCCCCCACCCATAGCTCCCTCCCCACAGGTGTCTGCGTGTGCCCTGGGATGACCAGGCCCCCAGCCCACTGACCTCGGGCACCTTGGGGGGGCCAGGCTTGGCCTTCTCGTCGGGAACCTTCTCTTTCAGGAACACGGTGTGCACGTTCAGGGTCCCGACGAGCGTGTTTGGCTTGAAGCTCAGAGGCTGCTGGGCTTCCGGAGGCCAGACCTCCAGGGCGTGGTGGGACGGGTTCAGGTGGTTCTGCAGGCAGAGCTCCACCAGGAGGTCCATCATCGCGTGGCTGGAAGGGGAGATGGAGCAGTTATTAGGGTCTGCGTCTCCTTCAGTCCGGGACAGAACGAGCGAACGAACGAACCAGCGGGCGAGCGAGCAAACTCCCGAGGAAAGACAGCGGCCGAGCGTTAATTCTCAGGCGTGACTGTAGCCTCTCCTAACACGGCCCACAGCAAACAGGACTCAGTTCCGGGGACTTGCGTCTTCTCAAATAACCCCGTTTAGTGCCTACCTTTGCCTGGCATGGAAGGGGACCCTCACCACAGCGCCTGCCTGTGTCACCAAGACCCCAGAGCCGCCCGCCCCACCCCCAACCACCCATAGCTCCCTCCTACAGGTGTCTGCCTGTGTCACCTGTATTTGCATGTGGCCCGCGGGCCGTCGTTTGAGGACCCCTGCTGTACAGCGACAGCCTTTAAAATATTTTAATTGACTTTTTAGAGAGAGAGAGGGAGGGGGAGAGAGAAACATCGATGTGAGAGCAAAGCACTGCTGGGCTGCCTCCTGCACGCCCCCTCCTGGGGATGGAGCCCACAGCCCAGGCCTGTGCCCTGACCAGGAATCGAACCAGTGACCTCGTGGTGCATGGAACGACACCCCACCCACTGAGCCACACAGGCCAGGCTGCACCGCAATATCTCACATTCCCAATACTGACCAACGACCTGACCCAAAGGGCAACGGGGGACCCACACCGTGTGCCTGTGAAGACAGTCACCCCCCGTTAGCTCCGCGGGCGTGTGGGCCTGACCCGTGAGGGCGGCGAACACGGCGCTGACAGGAGGCCCTCGCCTCAGCCCATCGGTGGGGCTGCCACTTTTTAAAAATTTTTTTTATTGATTTCAGAGAAGAAGGGAGGGAAAGAGAGAAACATCCAGAACGAGCGAACGAACGAACCAGCGGGCGAGCGAGCGAACTCACGAGGAAAGACAGCGGCTGAGCGTTAATTCTCAGGCGTGACTGTACAGCGATAGCTTTTAAAATATTTTAATTGACTTTTTAGAGAGAGGGAGGGGGAGAGAGAAACATCAATGTGAGAGCAAAGCACTGCTGGGCTGCCTCCTGCACGCCCCCTCCTGGGGATGGAGCCCACAGCCCAGGCCTGTGTCCTGACCAGGAATCGAACCAGCGACCTCAAGGTGCATGGGAACCCCACCCACTGAGCCACACAGGCCAGGCTGCACCGCAATATCTCACATTCCCAATACTGACCAACGACCTGACCCAAAGGGCAACGGGGGACCACACCGTGGTGCCTGTGAAGACAGTCACCCCCCGTTAGCTCCGCGGGCGTGTGGGCCTGACCCGTGAGGGCGGCGAACACGGCGCTGACAGGAGGCCCTCGCCTCAGCCCATCGGTGGGGCTGCCACTTTTTAAAAATTTTTTTTATTGATTTCAGAGAAGAAGGGAGGGAAAGAGAGAAACATCCATGGACCGGGCTACTATGGTTTATTTAAACGAGAATATTCATGTCGGGAGTACAGGGTTAAGGGTCTGATGGCAGATTATAAACTCCTCGCTTATCCGACGAGAAGGTCTCTAAGGGGTTGAGCATCGACCTATGAACCAGGAGGTCACGGTTCGATTCCCGGTCAGGGCACATGCCCGGGTTGCAGGCTTGATCCCCAGTGGGGGGCGTGCAGGAGGCAGCCGATCCATGATGCTCTCTCACCATGGCTGTTCCTGTCTCCCTCTCTCCCGCTCCCTTCTTCTCTGAAATCAATAAAAAAAAGTATATACATAAGAATCATGAGTAAAACATAATATATTAACTGGTAAAACTTCATGCATCTATTGAAGTAGTTTAAACTATCCTCTTATTGATGCTTCTGGGGTTACAGTGACGCACGCGGGAAAAACGTTCTTACAACAAGGGCCTCTCTGTAAAACGACGAAGCGCAGGCCCTCTTGCGAGTGGGCCATCGGGCACGGACCCTGGGAGCCATCCCTGCCGCAGGGGCCACGGACACCCCCGACACCCCCTCGAGGTCCAGGGCAGCCCCCACTCTGCACCCGAGCCCTTCCCCGGGACAATGGCACCAGGGGGTGCCCTGAGGAGCAGGCCCCGATACTTCCCTGGGACACTATTTGGGAGCAGCTGGGCCTCACCCCCCACCCCCCAACTCAACAGCTCCCACCCTGGGCAGACCCTGAGGCCTGCAGCAATGCTCCCCCAGGTTTTGTTCACTCGGCCCATAAAATAATTTTGAAAATGTATGTAGCCCTTTGCCCATGAAAGTGTCACCTACAATTTTCATTATAAAGCTCAAATTGTCAATGTAAATATGAAAATCATGATAAAGACCAGTAGGATCTGAAAACTGACTTCTAAAAATAAACCTGCTCTGGCCGGTTTGGCTCACTGGATAGAGCGTCGGCCTGCGGACTGAAGGGTCCCAGGTTCGATTCCGGTCAAGGGCATGTACCTTGGTTGCGGGCACATCCCCAGTGGGGGGTGTGCAGGAGGCAGCTGATCGATGCTTCTCTCTCATCGATGTTTCTAACTCTCTATCCCTCTCCCTTCCTCTGTAAAAAATCAATAAAATATATTTTTTTAAAAAAATAAAAATAAAAATAAACCTGGCGCATCACCATTTCCAGGGTATTCATGGGAATAAAAACACTCGGGGTCATGTGACCGTAACTGTCACCCCCTTGTAAGTACCCGAACAAACTGCTTCTTAAGGTTTAAATACTTCACATCCTCCCTTGTTCTCCTCGTTTTCCTGGAAAGACTCTCCCGCCGCGGGAGGACGCAAATATATTTTCACATCTGAAAGACTTCAGCACTGATCACTCTATCGCACTCGCTACAATAAAAACTGTATAAACACTTAAATCCAAAGTTTTGTTTCCCTGTGACCCTAACCGATCAAACAATATAATTATGACATATTTTGATAAATATTAAGCCCAAATTAGAAACTCTATTGGTGATAAAACTTCACATTTTGATGGAAGGAGGCTGTGCCTTTTGTGGGGAAAGAGGTGCAGGTGACCTTGACCACTCGACCCGGGGGACCAGAGCTCAGGGTGGGGTGGGAGCCATAGGCCTGGGGATCGAGTCCCTTACATTTAACACCACTGGGTCCCATTTTCTTTCTTTTTCATTATTATTTTTTTTAATATATGTTCATTGATTTCAGAGAGGAAGGGAGAGGGAGATAGAAACTTCAATGATGAGAATCATGGATCGGCTGCCTCCTGCACGCCCCCCACTGGGGATCGAGCCTGCAACCCGGGCCTGTGCCCTGACCGGGAATCAAACCCTGACCTCCTGGTTCATAGGCCGATGCTGAACCACTGATCCCCACCGGCCGGGCTACTTCTTCCTCTAAACCGGGGTTCAGAGAATGGATTGCAGGCGGCATGTACACCTCCATGGCCAGCCTGGGAGGACCTGTGAGGGTCAGTTCAGGAGGCTGCCTCCGGCCGTGGAACTTCAGTGCCCAGGACACGGGTACAGACTAGTGGCTGGTCACCTGCTTGGAGGGGCCCCGGCCTGCACCCCTGGCCTGAGCCCACCTCCTGCCGACCTGGGCAGCGCGGGCCCTCCGC